ATCAATGTATTCATCATTATTATTCTCAATAGTCCCACACTAGTTAATATTCTAGATGTTCTTTCAGAGACACTGTGCTAGTCATTGATTATTTTGTTCTGAAACCCTACACCATTTTAGATGTTGTTCCTGATAAAAACCTTTCTGAGTTTTGGAACTTGAAAGTAGGAATAATGAAACCTGTATTATTTAAGTTCATTAAGTTTTATCAAAGATTCACTTAGGGTAGAGTCAAGCACTTTTGAAATTTTCACATATACGCTTATACAAAAAAAACTTTACAAGTTTATCTCAGAAGAATGTGTATGTTTAAAAACATGTTGTAACATTTTAAAGTAAAAATGATGAACCAGAGAACACTCTGAAGGAACTTCACATATGTGTTTTTTGTCAATATATGTTTAAAGATAACCATACTGTACAGTTTTGCTTTTGGTCCATCTCCCAACCTAAATTAACCCCTCTCTACCACAATCCCCCCCACCCCCCAGTTACAGAGTTATAATATTAAACTTAGTAGGGGGTGACATGTATTGTCAGATATTAAAGAGACAGTTTGGGCAACAAATTATATTTTTTAATATCTATTTACAATACTCATGTGCTGTGACTCCGCAAATAAAATCTATCTGTTCCATTAGAAAAAAGAGTGCCATATGTAAATGTGTATATTGCTATTTTTTGTAAGTTTTAAATAGATTGTAAAAATTGTAAAAAGAAACTAGATATAGGCAATTGCCAAAGCTAAATATATGGTTAAGATAGAATAAGATATTTGCTCAGACATTAAAAATAAAAAATTACAAAAGTTAGGATACCCCAAATTATCAATAGGTGACATTTTAAAATACTTTGTAATAAATGTCTCTTCTACTTACTGATGCTGCCAGGATTTGCTCAACACACTGTTTACCTGACTTTTAGCAAGGATTTTGACTCCTTTGAACCTTTGATGGAACTCCATTCAACAAGATGACAACCTCTAATACTAAACGTGGTTTTGGAAGTACCCACTAATAAAAATGCTTAAATAGTGTTATACCCAACACAAACTGCCCTAATTACAAAGACTTCACTACTCACATTAAGTGATCCTACAGTGTGCCTATCCCTTTAACCAGTTGTAACTCCACCATTTCCAATGTGTTTCTTTCAGTCACTCCATGCACCTTACCAAATCTTAACAGTTCATGTGTGTAGTGCTGATGAGGAGGAAGAACAGGGTGCTTTTTCAGCTGCTGATGACTTCACACTAGAGGGGAAGAATGATGAAGGCATGAATAGCCACTCTGCCTCCTACTCTGCTGATGAGGAGGAAGAACAGGGCGCTTTTTCAGCTGCTGATGATTTCACACTAGAGGGGAAGAATGATGAAGGCATGAATAGCCACTCTGCCTCCTACTCTGCATGCTCTGGCTATATGGCATGCGTCCTCTCTAAAAAGAAAGGCACATGTGCCCTGCCTCTGGATGCTGCACTTTGACCACTACTTTGGCCTGTGGCTATGAAAGCATTTCACTTCCCTGATATCTTCATGGTAACAACTAGAGATGAGCGAATTATTCAAAAATTCGATTCGGCGAATTCGCGGAATAAATTCGATTCGAGTCGAATATATTCGCTGCGAATTTAACTTAACTTATAAAAAGGGTGTTTCTAGGCTTCAGAGAGCCTTTATATTAGTGCAGAACACTGTACCTTTAATTTAAATGCCCTTGGAGTCTGCTGGGGAAGAGAAATAATACTGTCAGTCAGTATGACATGCAGATGAGTGCCGTCGATCTTAGAATCACCGCACACTTCACTCATTTGGGCAGTCACGGGGCCAAAACCAGAGTGTGGAGCCACAGTGTGGCGGTGGAGGCAGCAGCAATGGGAGGCCATACAGTCCCCTATGACAAAATGGAACCCACCAGCAGTGTGAGGAGACCTGAAAGTGGCACATGGCAGAGTGTGGCGATGGAGACAGCAGCAATGGGAGGCCGTACAGGGACCCATGACACACTCTGGACCTGGCAACAGCATGAGGAGGCGGTACAGGGGCCCATGACAGATTACGTGCCTGGCAGCAGCATGAGGAGTCGGTACGGGGGCCCATGGCAGATTACGGGCCTGGCAGCAGCAATGGGAGGCCGTACAGGGACCCATGACACACTCTGGACCTGGCAGCAGCATGAGGAGGCGGTACAGGGGCCCATGACAGATTACGGGCCTGGCAGCAGCATGAGGAGTCGGTACGGGGGCCCATGGCAGATTACGGGCCTGGCAGCAGCAATGGGAGGCCGTACAGGGACCCATGACACACTCTGGACCTGGCAGCAGCATGAGGAGGCGGTACAGGGGCCCATGACAGATTACGGGCCTGGCAGCAGCATGAGGAGTCGGTACGGGGGCCCATGGCAGATTACGGGCCTGGCAGCAGCAATGGGAGGCCCGGAATCTGCCAGCACCCTATGACAAAATGGAACCCACCAGCAGTGTGAGGAGACCTGAAAGTGGCACATGGCAGAGTGTGGCGATGGAGACAGCAGCAATGGGAGGCCGTACAGGGACCCATGACACACTCTGGACCTGGCAGCAGCATGAGGAGTCGGTACGGGGGCCCATGGCAGATTACGGGCCTGGCAGCAGCAATGGGAGGCCTGTAATCTGCCAGCACCCTATGACAAAATGGAACCCACCAGCAGTGTGAGGAGACCTGAAAGTGGCACATGGCAGAGTGTGGCGATGGAGACAGCAGCAATGGGAGGCCGTACAGGGACCCATGACACACTCTGGACCTGGCAGCAGCATGAGGAGGCGGTACAGGGGCCCATGACAGATTACGGGCCTGGCAGCAGCATGAGGAGTCGGTACGGGGGCCCATGGCAGATTACGGGCCTGGCAGCAGCAATGGGAGGCCGGAATCTGCCAGCACCCTATGACAAAATGGAACCCACCAGCAGTGTGAGGAGACCTGAAAGTGGCACATGGCAGAGTGTGGCGATGGAGACAGCAGCAATGGGAGGCCGTACAGGGACCCATGACACACTCTGGACCTGGCAGCAGCATGAGGAGTCGGTACGGGGGCCCATGGCAGATTACGGGCCTGGCAGCAGCAATGGGAGGCCTGTAATCTGCCAGCACCCTATGACAAAATGGAAACCCACCAGCAGTGTGAGGAGACCTGAAAGTGGCACATGGCAGAGTGTGGCGATGGAGACAGCAGCAATGGGAGGCCGTACAGGGACCCATGACACACTCTGGACTTGGCAGCAGCATGAGGAGGCGGTACAGGGGCCCATGACAGATTACGGGCCTGGCAGCAGCATGAGGAGTCGGTACGGGGGCCCATGGCAGATTACGGGCCTGGCAGCAGCAATGGGAGGCCCGGAATCTGCCAGCACCCTATGACAAAATGGAACCCACCAGCAGTGTGAGGAGACCTGAAAGTGGCACATGGCAGAGTGTGGCGATGGAGACAGCAGCAATGGGAGGCCGTACAGGGACCCATGACACACTCTGGACCTGGTAGCAGCATGAGGAGTCGGTACGGGGGGCCCATGGCAGATTACGGGCCTGGCAGCAGCAATGGGAGGCCTGTAATCTGCCAGCACCCTATGACAAAATGGAACCCACCAGCAGTGTGAGGAGACCTGAAAGTGGCACATGGCAGAGTGTGGCGATGGAGACAGCAGCAATGGGAGGCCGTACAGGGACCCATGACACACTCTGGACCTGGCAGCAGCATGAGGAGGCGGTACAGGGGCCCATGACAGATTACGGGCCTGGCAGCAGCATGAGGAGGGTACGGGGGCCCATGGCAGATTACGGGCCTGGCAGCAGCAATGGGAGGCCCGTAATCTGCCAGCACCCTATGACAAAATGGAACCCACCAGCAGTGTGAGGAGACCTGAAAGTGGCACATGGCAGACTGTGGCGATGGAGACAGCAGCAATGGGAGGCCGTACAGGGACCCATGACACACTATGGACCTGGCAGCAGCATGAGGAGGCGGTACGGGGGCCCATGGCAGATTACGGGCCTGGCAGCAGCAATGGGAGGCCCGGAATCTGCCAGCACCCTATGACAAAATGGAACCCCAGCAGTGTGAGGAGACCTGAAAGTGGCACATGGCAGAGTGTGGCGATGGAGACAGCAGCAATGGGAGGCCGTACAGGGACCCATGACACACTCTGGACCTGGCAGCAGCATGAGGAGTCGGTACGGGGGCCCATGGCAGATTACGGGCCTGGCAGCAGCAATGGGAGGCCTGTAATCTGCCAGCACCCTATGACAAAATGGAACCCCACCAGCAGTGTGAGGAGACCTGAAAGTGGCACATGGCAGAGTGTGGCGATGGAGACAGCAGCAATGGGAGGCCGTACAGGGACCCATGACACACTCTGGACCTGGCAGCAGCATGAGGAGGCGGTACAGGGGCCCATGACAGATTACGGGCCTGGCAGCAGCATGAGGAGTCGGTACGGGGGCCCATGGCAGATTACGGGCCTGGCAGATGACGACGAGGCTGCCAAGTGCGATCAGCCTCATCATCATCAATTAGGGTCTCCGCCTCACTACTAGCCCCCTCGGCTGCGTGTGGGTCAGGAGACAGACCTGTCTCTAGACCGGCTACCAAGCCACTCTCCTCGCCAGTACTTCTTCGCCTGGCTGCTGAAGAGGTGGATGTCTCCCCCCGTTCCTGACCGCCCTCTGTTTGCTCTTCCTCACTGTACAGTGGGGCTGAGCCCACAGCATGCGATACTTCGCTTGGTGAGGGAACACCAAAGGACAGGGGCAGGTAGAGGACACGTGATTTCAGTGGGCTTGGTCCCGGGCCATGCCAACTAACGGTTGTGTCTGACGTACCCACCGACCGTTGGCTGAAGGTGTAGGTGTCAGAGGTGACCTGGGAAGAGGAAGATGACCGAGCCAACCAATCGATGACGGCAGGGTTGTCGGTGGAGACACGACCGCTGGATGACACCGGGGAGCACTGGTCTCTGGCTGCGACTAGTGCTGCCTCGACCCCTTCCTCTGCTGCCACGTCTGCTCGCTCCTGAAACATTGCCTCCTCTCTGCCACTCCTCTGCGTGTTGTCTGACATACTCTTTAATTCAATGATTCTGTGTCCCTGAGTAACGATTCTGTGTCCCTGAGTAACAATTCTGTGTCCCTGAGTAACGATTCTGTGTCCCTGAGAAACAATTCTGTGTCCCAGAGTAACAATTATGTGTCCCTGAGTAACAATTCTGTGTCCCTCAGTAACGATTCTGTGTCCCTGAGTAACAATTCTGTGTCCCTGAGTAACAATTCTGTGTCCCTGAGTAACAATTCTGTGTCCCTCAGTAACGATTCTGTGTCCCTCAGTAACAATTCTGTGTCCCTGAGTAACAATTCTGTGTCCCTGAGTAACGATTCTGTGTCCCTCAGTAACGATTCTGTGTCCCTCAGTAAACAATTCTGTGTCCCTGAGTAACAATTCTGTGTCCCTGAGTAACGATTCTGTGTCCCTGAGTAACGATTCTGTGTCCCTGAGTCCCTAACAATTCTGTGTCCCTCAGTAACGATTCTGTGTCCCTCAGTAACGATTCTGTGTCCCTGAGTAACAATTCTGTGTCCCTGAGTAACAATTCTGTGTCCCTCAGTAACAATTCTGTGTCCCTGAGTAACAATTCTGTGTCCCCTGAGTAACAATTATGTGTCTGTCCCTGAGTAACAATTCTGTGTCCCTGAGTAACAATTCTGTGTCTGTCCCTGAGTAAACAATTCTGTGTCCCTGAGTAACAATTCTGTGTCCCTCAGTAACAATTCTGTGTCCCTCAGTAACAATTCTGTGTCCCTGAGTAACAATTCTGTGTCCCTGAGTAACAATTCTGTGTCTGTCCCTGAGTAACAATTCTGTGTCCCTGAGTAACAATTCTGTGTCTGTCCCTGAGTAACAATTCTGTGTCCCTGAGTAACAATTCTGTGTCCCTGAGTAACGATTCTGTGTCCCTCAGTAACAATTCTGTGTCCCTGAGTAACAATTCTGTGTCCCTGAGTAACAATTCTGTGTCTGTCTCTGAGTAACAATTCTGTGTCTGTCCCTGAGTAACAATTCTATGTCCCTGAGTAACAATTCTGTGTCTGTCCCTGAGTAACAATTCTGTGTCCCTGAGTAACAATTCTGTGTCCCTGAGTAACGATTCTGTGTCCCTCAGTAACAATTCTGTGTCCCTGAGTAACAAATTCTGTGTCTGTCCCTGAGTAACAATTCTGTGTCCCTGAGTAACAATTCTGTGTCCCTGAGTAACAATTCTGTGTCTGTCCCTGAGTAACAATTCTGTGTCCCTGAGTAACAATTCTGTGTCCCTGAGTAACGATTCTGTGTCCCTCAGTAACAATTCTGTGTCCCTGAGTAACAATTCTGTGTCCCTGAGTAACAATTCTGTGTCTGTCCCTGAGTAACAATTCTGTGTCCCTGAGTAACAATTCTGTGTCCCTCAGTAACGATTATGTGTCCCTGAGTAACAATTCTGTGTCCCTGAGTAACAATTCTGTGTCTGTCCCTGAGTAACAATTCTGTGTCCCTGAGTAACAATTCTGTGTCCCTCAGTAACAATTCTGTGTCCCTCAGTAACGATTCTGTGTCCCTCAGTAACGATTCTGTGTCCCTGAGTAACAATTCTGTGTCCCTGAGTAACGATTCTGTGTCCCTGAGTAACGATTCTGTGTCCCTCAGTAACAATTCTGTGTCCCAGAGTAACAATTCTGTGTCCCTGAGTAACAATTCTGTGTCCCTGAGTAACGATTCTGTGTCCCTCAGTAACAATTCTGTGTCCCTGAGTAACAATTCTGTGTCCCTGAGTAACAATTCTGTGTCTGTCCCTGAGTAACAATTCTGTGTCCCTGAGTAACGATTCTGTGTCCCTAAGTAACGATTCTGTGTCCCTAAGTAACGATTCTGTGGCCCTAAAGTCTCTTTGGCCCTAACTCTGTCCCTAATACACAGAGGTCTGTCTCTCTTGAACGATTCTGTGTCCCTCAGTAACATTTCTGTGTCCCTGAGTAACAATTCTGTGTCTGTCCCTGAGTAACTATTGTGTCCCTGAGTAACAATTCTGTGTCCCTGAGTAACAATTCTGTGTCCCTGAGTAACGATTCTGTGTCCCTAAGTAATGATTCTGTGTCCCTAAGTAACGATTCTGTGGCCCTAAAGTATCTCTGCCCTAACTCTGTTCCTAATACAGACAGGTCTGTCTCTCTTGAATGACCGGAGGCTAATGGAGAATTGTAAGATGGCCACAATTTATAGCTCCACCATTACACAGTGCTGGCTGGCTGGCTGCTGATTGGCTAATGCGATCAAATGTCATGAATGAATGCATTATGGGTCAGCGCGCCTTGTCTGCGCGCCTTCCCAGAGATCCCCGCTCCGTCGCCACACATGTCACCGCCATTTTTGGGAAAATTTGATTCGTGCATCCGAAGTTTGCTAATTTTCGGATTCGTCGCGAATCGAATTTTTCCTGAACTTCGAAACGAATTCCACTTCGCCATGTTCGATTCGCTCATCTCTAGTAACAACCCTTGCATCTCTGTTTAAGCCTCCTAGACATAGTGCTAATGCAAGGGGATTTTTTATATATTATTAAGAGTTACGGAAAAAAGATGCACGGGGGTAGGGAGTTTGGTGGTGTAAAAAAGCACTGTAGTGCTTTAGAGCACTCAAATGAAAAAAAAAATTACTAAAAAACCCATAAAAAAAAAACAACCCCCGCAAAAATAGCTGCAAACTCAGCAATGGAAGTTGTCTTTGTCACAAAAAAAGTGTTGTCAAAAAAAAAAAAATGTTGGGCCTGTTCAAAGCAATGGACACAGAAGGGCTTTCACTCAACTCTCTATAGCCCCACAAACTGCAGTTCACTTCAGAAAATCAGCAAGAATATACAGCAGTGATATAGCACTGTATATATGAAACTCACTGTGCAATAAACCTCTCTCCCTGCAATACTGTCAATGAGACTTCTTTGGACAGTTAAGAAAATATTTGACCTTTGTATGATCATTTTTCATTCCACCAGCAACCTCATTTAGCAAATAACAAACTGTAAATAACAAAATACTTAATTACTAATATACTGTAAATTAGAATTGGTGACTGTTTGTGAAAATGGAGTTTAAGGATGAATAATGAAACATTTTCTCCATATACACCAGTATTTAAATGGAAATTTTTAATAAATACATCAGTGGAGCTAGTATTTTCTGGCTGTCAAGCTTTCTACTAATATTGAATTCTAAATTCAAGACATGAAGTTTAACATGTCCCAGTTGCTCCATTCTACAGAAAATACTGCACAAATTCCCAATAGGTCAGCAAAGATAACAAATATCTCTCTTATGCTATGGGATGTCTCTGGTTTTGGATTAGTAGCAGTTCCCTTGATAGTTGTATTTCTGAACTGTTAGAGATGAATAGAGTTGTTTTTCCTTCACTAGCTGTAAACATGTTTTGATACCACATAACCCCTAAATGTATCCACAGGAAAAAATTCAGCCTTAACCAACATAATAAAATGCTTGCAATCTATTTTCTGTATTTAAGTTTTCTTTTTAACTTCAAAACATAAATATATATTTTTAAATCCATCTGTATGCAGTGAAACTATATAAATAGGGATGAACTTCAAGTTTAGGTTGACCATGAAATAAGGTGCATGAATTAATAGCAACCAGCTACCAACAATGCATTTCTTGGCCTCTGAACTGTGGTAAGGTGGCTTAGAAGGGCCAATCATTGGGAACCCCCCCAAAGCACCCCCCCATGTTGAGGACACGTGGCCTGGAATGGTGCTGGGGGGAGGCATGCTTGGATAAAGGTCTGGTATGGATATTGGGGGAGACCTTGCAACATTTTTCTTTAATTTTGACATGGAGGTTCCCCTCAAAACCCATGCCAGACCCGAAGGGCTTGGTTGGTATGGATGGAGGGGGGACACCACAACATTGTTTTATTATTTTCTACATTATTTTTAATGCCCTTTCTATACAGCTGAGCTTCAATATGTAGGTGGGGTGTTGTGTGGGTGTGGCTTGAGTGTAGGCTGAGACACAGGGGGCCCCATTATCTCTTATTGCCCGGGGGGCCCCATGAGTTGTCAGTCTTCCCCTGACAGTTTATTAGCTTTTAGTAAATCAACCCCATTGTGTGCTGGAAGTCCTGTAGTAGATTAAGGTAAGTTACCCAAATTTACATAGCTCATCTGTAATGCTGCAGTTCTGCAGTCAGCAGTCACAGAGAAAGCCAGGAATAGGTTAAAACATGTATGGTTTATGCAAGTAAAAGCAATATCGGCACTTACATCAGGGTTGTCTGTTTCATTTTTGTGTACAGGGATCACTGTGCCTGTGAAGACCTTGAGGACCTTTAGGGAAAAATGTCTAGGTACACTGTGGTCTATGTCTAATTGCTCTATGAGCCACCTATGTTCCCCCAAATCTTCACCATACTGTCTGATGTATTTCCTCCAATGAGTAGGCTTGACAAAGAGAACAGACCCCTTTAAATGCATTGCCATGCACTTGCTCTGCCTGGTCTCCATGAGTGTTGAGTATGGCTGTAGACACCACTGGTTTGACAGCTCAGAGTGCCCAGTACCCTCTGGATCAGGGTTCACCATCTACTTCTGGATCAATCCCAAGATCTTTTTGTAAGGAACTCAAGGATCCTTTCCTACTAGACACTCTTTTCTACCTATGGACTTGTTGTCAATGTTCATATCAATGGTTTATGCAAGTACCAATGTGTACTGAGTGTGTGTATATATATATATATATATATATATATACTGTATACATGTATACATGCATTCTGTGTTTTTACACAGAAAGAACATGAACATAAAGCCATTGCATTGGACAGTTAGAAGGTGAAATAAATACTCCTTCCCTAGTCTGATGTATCTATGTTTAGTGAATGTGCCCTCATATTGTCAGTCAGAAGGAGAAATAAAAAACAAAATATATTGGTTGTTTGCTTCAAAGTCCAGTTTTAACTGTGTTATATAAAGTAGTTACAGTACATAATAATTAGGTCCACATGTCCATCGAGGGCAAACTTTTTAAAAAACAAGTAAACCTTGCATCTTCAGGAAACTGAACTCCTGGATGATGCAAAATAAGTAAAAAAAGGTAGTCTTGCTTTACCAAGGAAAAGCTCCATCCTAATCCCAAAAGACAACCACATCAACTCACGGGATCCACATTCTACCACGTATTTCTTTAAAAAATAGGTAGCTGTTCATATTTTGTACATTAGAAACAAGTTCAAACATTGGAAACAATGTTCTGAATTTGTAAGAGCCATTTCCTTTAGAAGACTGTTCTTACAACTATTTTAGGAAGAGTAAATTAGACTGGGTGAAATTATAGATGAAAAAAGGTTTCCCATTTCAGAAACTTTCTATAATGGGAATTTGTTTAGCATATAAATCTGTTTTACTTTTGCTCCCATTTACTAACTGAAGGTATGTGAAATGCAATGGGGTCATAGACAAGAAATAACTTTATTATGTTTTTCCAAACATGACTGGATATCTATCAGAACACTTTTATAAATAGACTCTATTAGGGCTTATTCACTAAAGGAGTTGATAATCTTTCCACAATAAATTGTGTGAATGTTCACTTCAATTATTCAGTCCTGTGCAAATGAAATACAAAAGAAAAAGCGGATTTAAACCTTAGTGTGTTTTTGTACATATACATACTGATACAGACAACATCAGCAGAAAAACTGCCATGCTAGATGAAACAGAGGAAATGACAATAATATATTTAAAGTTAGATTATTTGAATTGACAGGGGAGCAAAGACTGCATTTAAAGAATTGTTAGATTTGTATAAAACATATATCTGTAGAACCCAGTATATAGCAAAACTAACAAATGAGCTCTTCTGTGTTCAAAGGTATTAATTTCTTTAACAAATAGTAGCCTTCTTCTAGTAAGACATGCATAGAATTCTCAGTGCATATAAGAGACCTATTTTGCTCATATAATTTATAGGTGCTGTAGGCTCTCTGTTGAAGAAAGAATTTTAAAATTATCCAGTTCTGGAAATTTCTGAACAGCTGCATGGTTATCCTCAAACATGTCAGATATGCAATTACAGTTCTTTGGGTTATCCCTAGTTCTTGGGCAGCTCAGTGGATCAGTGGTTTCTGCCAACAAGCTTCACCTAAAGACCTAATCTGCATTTTACAGATATGTCTCAGAAATGTTCTGAATTCAGCAATTTACTAAAGTTCATGAACTTTAATATCTGTTTGAATTTTGTGTTATAACATTAATTAATAATACTTTTTCCATGGGTCTGTGTAAATTTGTCAGCTCATTGCAATCAACTTTATCCCTTGTGGAAGGTAAACCAAATCTTAAAGCCTGAATGCAATTTTGTAACTTTGTCATGTTAATAAAATTGTACATATAATTGTCATTACTTGTATCTAGTGTATCCAGGGTAAATATATCTTGGATTTCCATAATAAAGTGAACCTTTAATTGGTGGCAAACGTTAATGGCTATCTCATGATTTTGTTGTTTATTATTAAAAAAACCGGAGCCAACATAGTAGAAAACATCTTTAAACATTAGCTGCATATTTTCTTACCATGACCCATTACTAAAAACAAAAAGGCAAAATACTAAAATAATAAGTTTTCTTACT